GTATTGGATAACGCTAAGAACGAACAAACCTGAATAGCGGCGGTCGTAATCGTTCCGGCGGCCTTAGTAAGCTGTTAAGTGAGAAATATGTGTCCAATACCGCCACCCTCTTTCTATCGGGTGTTTTTTTAATGGCAGCGTATGATGGTCGTCCTTAATCGCATCGTGAGAAATACGTATCCAATATAGGCATACCCTGACAGCTGCAAGTCCACAACTACTTCTTCTGGTTGACACTTGGACCAGGATCTCTTCGATCACACTTGTATAATCGAGTGCCGGAAATAACCGAGTGTGTCCAATGATACCATTTGAGATAACACCAATGTTCATAAAGCATTTCGGCAGTACTGTACACATGTCAATCCACTTTCATCGGTGGTCTAAAATAATGGCCAAGTGTCTTCGAAAGTCGAATGGGGATAACCATTTGATAAGACCTCGATCTCCACTGAAACGACCCATTGGGGTGTGTTTATCCCATTTGAAAGAACATGGCGAGGGGTAGTCGAAAGCACCGATGAAATTTAAGGTAATTAATACCTCCTTTAGGATTTTAGCTGCATATGAGCAATATGGCCTGGAGTAAATAACTGCGCTTTTGGATTTAGCTAAACACCACTATCGGTCCCATGCTCGGATAAAGCTGGAGACACCATAAACCATAAGACAACTGGAATAGATAGTCTTTCAGTGGTACTTCACAAAAGAGCAAACTGGAAGATTGCTGCTGTACTCTAAGAATTGATAGCAAGAATTTGGAAAGAAGAAGGGTTCCCTAGTGAATGGTCTAAGGATCAAATAGTGCCCGTATACAAAAGAATAGCGGACGCCATGCAATGTGAGAATCACCGGGGAATCACGTTACTCTACATTGCATATAAAGTATTTCTGTTGTTTTATATAATAGAATTGTCCTATATCCAGAAACAGAACTTGGAAAGTACCAAAAAAGACTACGATAGATTCACGATAGACCAGATTTTTTTCTATTAGGTGGACATCTGAGAAGATGAGAGAATTTGGAAGGTCTGTATGAATGTTGTTTGTGGATTTTAAAGCAGCATATGATACCGTCAACAGAAATTCCTTGTTTATGGCTATTGAAGAATTGGAGTTACCAGATAAGCTCATCAGGCAGATCAGGTGTACTATGGTTCGGAATAATTGCCGAGCTAATACCCCGACTGGACCATCAGATTCATTTGAAGTAAAGGATGGATTAAGGAAAGGAGACCCATTAGCTCCTCATTTGTTTAATCTTGTCCTCCAAGATATTGTGATGCTAGATGAACTGGACCCATAAGGAACTGTTTACACCAAGATGACCCAGATACTGGCATATGCAGCTGATGTGGTCATTGGAAGGAAGATCACTGGTTAGCATAAGAGGTGAGTTCACCAAGCTTGATGCAGAAGCTCTGCGTTTAGATTCCTTAGCCAATGAAAGGAAAACCAAAGTAATGATATTAAGGAAAATGAAAAACGTGCACTGTCAATGTATATATGTTATGAGCAACTATACCGAAGAAGTGGTCAACGATTTCATCTACGTCGGACCCCTTATGTAGATGGGAAGTTAAAAAAGAGATTAGTTAACGAAAATAAAGCATACTTTGGGATAATTAAACTATTCAGAAGTAGGTTGTTGAGCAGTGCCACTAACATTAAGCTGTAATAACGTATGTATTTAAGACATTCACGTTTAACACAGCTTCTGCTGAAAAATTTGACAGATTTGAAAGGAAGGTCATCAGGGACTGGTTACAGTGCGAGCTGAAGGCAAGAAAGTTGACAGCAACTGCACCCGCGTACTCGTATCATTTCTTCGGAAATGTGCTGTGTGTTATTATGCCGGATATGCACAATATTTTTTGAATATTTCAATATTTTTGAAGGCCTCATTTTTTCCTCGATTTTGTAATCAAATTATCTTACGATCCATGCAGGAAGCAAATGTCTATTTACGAGTTTTTAGTACCTAATTCAATAAATCTCCGGGATTGAGTTTGGCCCCCTACAAATTGAAAACGCCCCATTTTCAAGAGATTTCTTAAATAAAAAAAGTAGTTGTAGGTTACGAATAGATGAAACTATTTACGAAGTTTCAGGCGGATGTTAATAATTCGATAAAAGAGGTCAGTACCACGAACGAGTTGGTTACTCACTTTTATTTTAGGATATCGAAAAAAAAATACGTCAGGATAGGTTACATTTTATTGTTTATTTTAAGTAGTAATGAATAATATGCTTTCTTAGTCTCTATTCATTCTTTTATAATTAAGAATTCCACAATTTTTTTACAAATAAATTATTATTAGTAAACAAATGAACGAGTTCCAGTCTTGATTACTTTATTTATTAATTTCTGTTGTTAAATTATTAATATTTAATAATTATAGCTTTAACATTTCTTTCGTTTTCCTCATTTAATCATTTAATTCTTGGCTTTATTGTTCCATATTATTGTTTTTCCTAGTTATCTTGCTTAAAAATTCACAAGAACATGCAGGGTTGTGATTATTATTGTCTTCGCCCAAAAAAAAAAAGATATGTTCATTTTAATATTCGAACATCGGCATGTTATATGGTCTTCATGATATATATATATATAATTCGTTTGTTACTGGTACCACTAGTGCCGGCTTTAGGGACGAGTAGCCTGGGCTATTGCTGGGGGTGACCTGCCTAGAGGGACGTCGCCACTTGTTTGGAATTATAAATAAAAATTGTATAAGAAAAAATCTGGTGCGCGCAACACACAACTTTCACTTAACGCTCAACTTTGAATATAAATTACTTTCTGGCCATGTTGGGCTATTATAAAATTTTTTAATTGCATTTTTAACCGACCTAAAGCTAAAAGCTTACAGCTAACAAATCATAAATACCATCAAAATGACAAAAGTCCTATTAATTATGTCACCGGTTGATTATGGATTGTACGACTATTAGTTATTAAACTCTTATTTTCCATTGTAAAGTTTACTATAACGGAATTAAGAGATTTGCATTGTCTGTCATAGACAGGTCAAAAGTTGTTAGACTAACTGGAAGTGGACACTGTTGGAATATCACAAAGGGAAGATTCATCAAATTATTCACTAATTTAATTTTCTAAAAAGTTACGTGACAATATTTCGGAATAAATGGACGTTGATACCTAATTATTTCAATATAATATCAGAGCTAGAATTATTGAACTATAGTAAATGTATTTAAGAAATGGCCCGTAAGAGGTTGAGGAGCTCCCCATTGTTATAGATAAATAAATGCGTTTAAGGTCATAAACATATGCTTTATACATCCATGAAATATTTTTTATTTTACTTCTTATTTCACACAGGTACAATGAAATATTTTTTTAAGATTAGATGAATTTAAAATACTTTTTTCAAACTTAAAAATATTTTAAAAGTTTGCATTTAGTTAATAAATTTCATTTATTTTCCTTAAAAACATGTGATTTACGTTTAATATTATTAGTTTTCAAAAATTATTTTCAATACTTTTTTGCCACTCTCCGTTACCTTTTACAACTTTCTATTGCCTTTTTTCGAAATTTCTCCACTTTCCAACGATATATTATACGTATACCTCCTGACTAGTATTTCCAGAGATTCATTTTCGACTTGGATAAGCATTTTTATTTTTTTCTCCTTTATTCAATTATCGAATTCTTTCAAAAGTTATATTTAGCTGTTTTTTGTTACTCTAAATAATGTGAGATGGTTCATTATTTAAAATAAACTACATTAAAGGTAGTAATATTAATATAAAAAAGCTGAAGAAATAAATTAAATTCTTTGGGGAGAGATAGTCTACACGCCATCCAAACGATAAACTTGTACACTAATACTCCAAATCCTATTGTAAAATTATTATTTTAAAAAGCCGCTTTGTATATGCGTCGGCACTTAATAAATATTGGGGGAGGGGGAGGATGGGCAAGATTAGATTAGTTGACTAGTTTCTGTAAACAGTTCTTTATTGGTCTTTCTATCCCAGTGTTACTTCTCTGATCCCAGATCGCTCCGGTTATCGTGTAGAGGATTTTCCTCTCAAATCTTTTTTCTAGGGTGCTGGTTAGTGTCCAGGTCTCACAGCCATATATTAGAACTGGCTTTATCGTATCATTGTACACACTTAGTGTATTTCCATTGTGTAGATTTCATGAGATTTTTCGCGATTTCAATACCTTTGAGAGGGAGAAGAAAGCTCTGTTTGCGCTAGTTATACACTGGTCTATTTCTGCCCGTTGGTCATTCATTGAGGTTATTTTGGAGCCGAGGTATTTGGATTTTTCTACAATCGAGAATGGTTTTCTTTCTACTCAGATCCTGTTATTGGTTTGAAATTTTCGGCTTGTTATCATATATTTTGTTTTGTCTTCATTTACTTGTATGCCGGTCTGCTCTGCCTCTCTTATCAGTGTTTTAGCGAGTTAATCAACATCTTCTCGATTACTTCCAAGTTACTTTTGATTACATGATCATTTTTGTCCTATTGCTGCTATATTTAAAAGCAAGTAACTGTATGTTGGCATGCCTTTCAAGGATAAAAAAGGAAAATTTATAGACATATAAAAAGTGATAGAGATTTAGTAACTACAAGTTTTATTATGTAGTACGATTCTTACTTACTCATAATTAAAAATATTTACTGGAGTTTTGTGATTCAAATAGACTGACGCAGTTAAATCTAAGGTTGTTATAGGTTACCATCGATGTTATAAGGATCAGGTTATTGTGACGGTCTTAATGAGTCTTTGTATTAATGGATATGACCGAAATTCAAAAATTTGTTTTTTAAACATTAGCTCCATTAAAAATGCACTTTGAAAACTTCTTGTAATGCCCAAAGGCAAGAATCGATTTTCGAAGTAGAGCGGCAACTGAAAGTTGTGTGATGCACCCACCAGATGTTAAAGTAAATGTCTGTAAAATTTTGAAGGTAATCAATCCCCTTTTTGATTTTTAGTGGTAGGTAGGCCAGAAAGTGTCTTGTTTCCTTTCCCTTCTTTCGTGAACGAGCTTGTTGCCTCTTGAAGATCGCAACGGATCTGAGAAAACGGGAGCTCCGCCCCTAAAAGGGCGGGGCGACGTAAACGGCTACCGTCCAGATTTTCCTCCCGATATTAGTTGCCCCTACCACTCCTCGTACGTACCACGTGCTTCTCAGTGTTCTTGTAAGAGGGAGTTGATTTTGTGTTAGCGTTCGCTCGTTCCCAACACATGACAATTAAATACTTGTATTAACTTAATTAATTTTACACTTTTTCTATTAAATTTACCCGATATTATGTTGGAGCCCATCAACCCTAGAGAAAAGAAAGTAATAACGGCCGTGTTGGAGATGTATAAGTCTCATAAATTTTTATGGGACCCTATGCATTCCTTATATTACAACAAAGATGTAAGGAACCAAGGTTTGAATAACCTTCTGGCTGTATACAAACAATTGCATCCTGATGCGACAATTGTATCCCTTAGAAAAAAATTGGAAAATATGAGGAATACGTTTAATAAGGAATGCAAAAAGGTTAGTCTTACTTATTAAAAATGGATTATAAAGAAAGTTTACCCATGAATAGTTCATTGATGTAAATAGTGTTGACTAAAAAGTAAAAAAAATAAATAAATAATAAAATCACTCATCGTGTTTATTGATTCGTCAGGTTGAAGATAGCAAAAGTACAGAACAGGATGCCAACAAAGTTTATGTACCAAAATTATGGTACTTTGAGCATATGAGATTTCTTATTGGCAAAAAAATTTCAAGAAGTGATAAGAATCCTTTCGAAGATTTTAAGGAGAGTGAAATGATGAGTGAGGTATGTAATAATTAAGTAAGTTAGTAAACATTATAGTCCGAGAGTCAGTAGCTGTCAATAACGCAAAGATCATTAATTAGAGGCCGCTTTAGCCGAGCATGTTTCTTACTTTAACATTCTCGAGTTAAGGCGGGTTGAAATTTTCGTTCCGCGGGTTGAAAAGTTTCTTGGTGGACTTACAGAATGATTCTCGACCTTCCCATTCTGGTTACAATAGGTTTGCTTGTAAATCTAGAACAATCTCTCTCTCTCTCTCCCTCCCCCCCCTTTCCTCATATGCCAGAAAATGTGAAGTAGCGGGTAACAAAAAAAATACATTACCTAGTTGAAAATGATTGAATCATGGATATTAAAAGTATTTTAAGTATATTAGTCCGTGGTACAAACACCGTTTCATCAAATTATTAAGATCCGCCTTAAAATTCGTGGATGACTTTATTTTATCTATACCTACAAATTTTTTATCTACGAAAATTCTCAAAAATGGAGCGTTTTCTCATTAATTTAATTAGGTACACAAATGCATTAATACACATTTGCTTTCCATTTTACTCGTAAAATAATTTTAACACAGAAATGAATAAGTTGAAGGTTACGAAGACATGAATCTAATCACGAAGTTTTAAGGAGTGTCAATAATTTGATAAAAATTAGTCTGTACCACGGACTACCGCCTAGGCGGGTTAAGATTTCTTTCGTGGTGGACCCACGGAATGAATATCACCTTCCCACTCTGGTTAGAATAGGTTTGGTTGAACCTCTAGAACAATCTTCAACGAGGTAGGGCGTAACGAAAAAGAAAAAAAAACTCATAATTATCAATTTGGAATAATAATCATTAATATTAAAATTATTCTAAGTACATGTTCTTGGAAATGAATATTCTTTACACTTTAATATAATTGATATATATTTCATATATCATATTACCTTATTCATAAATATTTTTGGTATCATGGTGTCTATGTGGTTTAACGTTTTTTTAAACGTACGTTGAAGCTACTCCGGTACTTTGTCTGAAATACGTTGACACAAAACTCTGAACCTTGATGGCAAGATCCCAAATGGATTTTCTGCACCCTTGTTGCTCTGAAAGTGTGTAAATTAAGTATCTGTCTTGGATGGTTGATATATTTTAGGGTGGATGGTTTCCATGATGATTTTAGGAATGAAAAAACAATTTTTTTTTTTACAGTTTTACAAACGTCAACAAAGTTACGATAAACTCTGTGAATTTTAAAATAACGACTAGAAAATAAATAGGAAAAACTGAGAGGAGTAGTCCAGGATAGGCTCGCTTAAATGAAACTACGTCAAAGGGTGGGGTTGAGACTGGTCCCCCTCCCAATCCTACACACTAGCCATTTAGTCCGGTCCGATGTTCTAAAGAGGGTTAGGGGGCCTGCCTATTGAGTTAATGTAAATGCACTTAGGGGCTTGTAAGAGCATATTTCAATTCATTGTTATTATCAAATTTGTTAACATATTGCTAAATATTTATTAATGGCGTATCGTTATTTTCAAGAATTTCATTCTAGAGATTTTTATTAGGTTAGCCGATGCTTCGACCCAAACAAGGTAGAATTGCCAGCCAGCTCTTGTCACGAATTTCAAACCCAAAGGATGACCCACATGTTTAGGTCGAAACGTCGGCTAAAACAGTATAAATATCTTGACTGAAATTCCTGATAATTTTGTTTTATCCTTATAATTGTAGTAATCAGTCGACTACTTACCCATCTCTAAATATTTAAAAAAAATGTGTAAAAATAAATTCATTTCCAAAACTGTCCTTTCTTTACACGAATGTAATGATTCTTTCATTTTTAAAAACTTTTTAAAACAATAATTCATCAAAAGACGTGTTAAACTTTTTATTCTAATGATTTTTTTTCTCATATCTAAATCCGCATCTATCATTCAATTTGACAATAAGCTGACGAGCTGTTGTGAATTTGGAAAATCGTATGATACGTTTAAGGGAGAAGAGTACCCAGCAGCACAGCACCTCTTTACGGTCAATATTTTCTTGCTCAATTCAGGAAAGGAGATCCCTCATCCAGCTCCTTTTCAGTCGCCTCACGATGGGCATGTCAATTGTGACGACGTCGTTTATAAGTTAAGAGTTAAGTGTTCGTGTAGTTTATTACAAAACCGAGTGTAAAGAGTACGAATGTGTTGGTCGATACTTGATGAAAATTGAAAAAAAAAATTATTTCACCGTTATTGTAAACGAAAATTAAATTTGTATAGTACAACATAATAATTTTTTCTTCTTTATAAATCCTTTGGTATTAGTGCCAGGGCTATAGTAAGAATTCACACAATATCTACATACGAAAGGAAAATACAATTTATTTCTTTTTAAATATTTTTATTGAAAAAAAAAAATACATTTTGCCTCAATTAAGGGCATTGAGTATTTGGGATGTTTGAAACATAATGGACACTAAAGCCACATACGCTCATGACGTGTGTAGAACCTGGCTATTGCCAGGACTCCAGTGACGTATTTACAAAAGATCTCGAGGCCACTGTTCTTTCAAACTTGTAGGAGGATTGTAGGGATGACTGATACTGGATAAGGATTGTGCTAAAGGATTAGGATGATGGATTAGGTTCTGATGAAATTTGAATTAATAGTTGAAAATACATTTAAACAACTAAAAGAGAAGAAATAATAAGATTAATATACATATGTACATAAAATAAAATAATAGATAAAATCTAATTGCAATTAACATAAATAAAACACATTGTCACCTATGTACAATAAGGCGCTAAAAATATAGAACTTGTAATTTTTTTTTTTTTTTATTGGTTACATTGAGGACATATATAATTGTTTTTAGCGTTTTCTTAAAATTTGTCAATGATGATTAGTGCTCTGTTTGATAAATTATTTATTTATTAAACATTTGCGATGTAGGTTTTGAAATGAATATTTTTTTAAAAGAACAACATAAAAAAAGAAAGAAAATGAAATGAAAGAGCGTGATGTAAATGTGGACAAATTGTAATAAACATTAATAAGTAATAATAAGTAACATTTAAATATTTTGATATATATTGATTTGATACATAACTATTATTAAATATGCTGTTATAGTATATCGGTACAAACAAAATTAAAAGAAACAATGAAGGAAAAAATAATATGTATGATAAGGTTAATATAAATCATCAGAAAAAGATAAATCAGTAATTCTTAGTGTCAACATGTTTATTGAAGTACAAGAGGGTTTTTACTTATATTATACACCAAGCAGATTCAGAGGCCAAAAAGGCTTACTTAAGGGCTTCTTACAATATATTGACCGTGTGAGGGCTTCATTGATGTCAATTACACTCAGTGTCAAAATGTTAAACAAACTTCGAAAATTGATATCCCTACCCTCCCAATTTTTTCAAATTATTTTTAAAACAGTATTAAAATAATCTATCACTAATCTGAAGTTAATCAGCAGCCTGCTTGTATTTTGGTTCTCAAGCCAAAAGTATATACAATTATTTTTATTTTTCAAATTAAAGTTATGGCCCGTCAAAAGGTTAGACACGCTCCTTGGTAAAAATAAATAAAACCTATTTTAATACTTCCTGGCTTTTCCACCACCACTTATTAATTCAAAAATTCTGTTTGGTAATAAATCATTCATTTTTCTTATTGTTTCTTGTGGTAATTGTTCCCACGAAGCCAGAATTTCAGATTTCAAATCCTCGATTGTTCCGAACTGTCTTGATTCAGAGTACACCCTTCTTGAAAGAGTTCCCCAAACATTTTCGAGAATGTTCAGATCTGGGGAGATTGCAGGCCAGTCTAATTTGGCTATTTTTAATCTAAATAATTTTTGCTGAATGTATTGGGACGTTATCTTGTTGGAAAAGTGGTATGCCTTCAGACATGTCACTAAAAGTCAACTTTTGTTCCTATAACACAATTTTGAATTCAGCTGAGTATACTCTTGATGAAACAAATACCAAATTTCCTTTCTTTCTGTAACCAATTGATGCCCTAACTATAACATTTCCTACTCCCATTTGATGCCTTGATAATTTTTTTCATCTTTTCTCAAGTCATGAAAATAATATGAAAATCCATCTGGCCCATCCAGACTGATTTTTTTTTTCAACACTAAAGATGACTTTCTTCCACTCCTCATCACATTACGAGCAAGACCATCCGGTCTAATTTGAGACGGAGAAACTTATTTTTTCCCATAACTCACGTTCATTTTATGTCTATTTTGAAACTAATTCAACATTGCAATAAAAGAAAGCAATAATAAAACACGCTACAATAAAAAACAAGCAAGGAGCAACAACAACAAGCAACAATAACAAGCAACAAGCATTTTGAAGTATTTTAACGGTATTTTAACGATTTCAACTCTAGAGGATTTAGAAAATAGTAAACAACAACAATTCAACAAGTTTGTCTATCATTTTGACGCATATAATATAATATGAATATCAATATTTACTGATATAGGATTTAAATAATCCTCAAGTTCTGAGAAGATTGTCCCTATTTCAATATCATATTTTATATTTTAAACTGTGCTTAAAAAAATAATATCAATCAAAAATAAAGAAAACCTGAAAAGTTTTTTTGGTAATTATTTACGAACGGTCCTCCACTCGCCATCTTGGTTGAACTGGTATTATGTCCCGTGTTCTGATAACGTTTACGAAATCTAGCACCAGAAAGCGCCACTATTGCGGAGGGGTTGTCTTGTCCCCTCCACCTTACGTTCATTACAAATAATTACCAATTGTAACCTTTACAATATATAGTGCCCACCATTTTTTTTAACTTGTCGATTTCTTTGTATCTTCAATATATCGATTAACCAAACTTTATATTTCAGATGTTATTATTTACACATATTACCTACATCAATTTTTTTTACCATTATATATTACTAATATTATTTATAATTGTAGTGTTTATATATTGCCCGTTTTTGTTTTTTTAGCTTCGAGATTCAGCATTATTAATG